TGATGAGTGAATTTCACGTATTAAAAGATTGTGTTTGAGAAGTTAAGCATTTATAGCATGAGACTGATGGCTCATTTCGAGAACTACACTTTAGATTGCAGACTGACAAAGGTGCTTGGTTAAGGGCATGCTGAGAAGCTCCAGCTAGGGACTGAAGTATGGTGTTATGTGGAAACTAACCCCATGATAGATCCCTACTTAACTGGCTTGTCAAGTCGATTGGCAGTTACTGGAGCCATGTTGTAATGCTGAAGGTCCAGTGGCCCTGTCCCCACCCTCGGTGTGTGGGAGGAGTTAATGAGCAGGTGCTCTGTATGCTGGTGCAAGTCTAACATCATGTCTGCTTCTGATGTGGCATCTGCTTGGGGCAAATCTTGAGAGGCAGGAGCTAAGTAAGTCACAGGCCAAACATGCTAAAGATTCCATAGCTGATGTAAATCACTCATGAAAAGACATGAAAAACGCCTCATTTTGAGCTTTCATGCTTGTTTTGTCTTTCAGCACCAATCACTGGAGCAGTTCAGTTCCTAGTAGCAGTCATTAAACACAGTGCATTAGAGCTCATTGGGGGAGGTTCTCTCTAGGACCCGCGTGAGCAGCTATTGGTAGCTGACAGCTGCTGGGGAGGAGTGTCAGTGGCTGTTCTTACTCAGGTCAGTCTCTCGTCCTCCATGCACATATGAGCAGCACTAGTTGAGCTTAGAGGGGACATGGGGGGTGGAGGAGGGAAATGGATGGTGAGTGGAATCATGTTTCGTTGTCTATGTATTACTCAAGAATAACAAAAAGAAAATATATCTCATAATGTAAAGTGTACATGCTGTACAGATGGGGTGTGCAGTTCAGCAGTGGGGTGATTAACTAGGTGGTGAAGACATGGGTTTGAGGCCTACCTGTTATACCCTGCGCTCATTAAAAGTTCTGTTGAAACTTTTGTTTTCGAGGTGTCTCCATGAAGTGAGCTGAAGTATGGTGGCATTATTATTACTTTTACTGTGAGTCCCAGAGAAATTGAAGAACTGGTCATCTAGAGAGAACTGGTGAGGGAGAAAGGGAGTTAGAGCCTGTGTGCTGACCTAGTTCTCACAGGTCTGACTTGAGCAAGCCACGTAAGCTTTCTGAGAATCTAGTCTTATCAGGAGACTGGGTACAGTATCACGTTCCTTTGTGCCTTTAGATTGATTGTGAGGACTCAAAGTGACAATTTACAAGAAGACATTTGTAGTTGTCAAGGATGTTTTTATTGAACAGTTCCTGCAAGGTGCAGTGCTGGGGCTCGCATCTGCCTTGTCCCTGCAGGGCCGAGAGACGAGGCTGTCGTGATGGCTGATGACGTGCACAAAGGTGTGTGTGTGTGTGTGTGTGTGTATGTGTGTGTGTGTAGAACAGTTTTATGAGGAGGGTGGGGCAGTACCCGAGGAGCCTCTGATGGGTAAGGAGTGGGTACAGGGATTAAAAGCTGATCGTTGCCAAAGTTACTGTTGGTTTTTACACAGCATTCAGTGCTTCATAGCCTGGAGACTGCACAGTTCTGTGGTGAGCAGTCTGGGATGGCGGAACTGGTCTCTGTTTTACAGCTGTCAAGATGTCGTCAGGTTGATCTTACCTGCCAGGTCCATGTGGTTATGGTGGAGTTCAGACAGTGCTTGGAGGTCTTGGTCTCTTTCCCCAGGATGCCAGCACTTGTCAAGTGTTTCTCTGCCCTCTGCTTTCATTCAGTGTAGCACAGCTCCAGCCTCAGTCTCTGTCCTCTAGTCCCTGATTTGAAGGGCTTGTGTAAGTAGCTTAAACTTATCTGGGTAGTTGTTTTTTTGTTTTTATTTTATTTTATTTTTTAAATTTTGAGTAAACTCATTTTCAACTAGAATCATACTTCAGAATCCCCCTTCCATCTATGGTAACAGTCGTGAGAGTGAATGTCATTCACTGGCCAAGGGTCATGCGGGACCTACCACAGCACCAAGCTGGCTTCTCTTCTGTTTTTTTCTTTGTTTGTTTTGATTTGTTTTGTTTTTGTTTTTCCAGACCAGGCTGTGTAACTGCCCTGACTGTCCTGGAACTCACTTTGTAGACCAGAGTGGCCTTGAGCTCACAGACTTACACTTACCTCTTACTCCTCCGCCCCCAGGCGAGCGCCACCACTGCCCTGAGAGACTGGTTTTTCTTTTCTTTTTTTAAAAAAAGATTTATTTATTTATTATGTATACAGTATTCTGTCTGCGTGTATGCCTGCAAGCCAGAAGAGGGCACCAGATCTCCTTACAGATGGTTGTGAGCCACCATGTAGTTGCTGGGAACTAAACTCAGGACCTCTGGAAGAACAGGCAGTGAGTGCTCTTAACCACTGAGCCATCTCTCCAGCCCCCTAGACTGACTGATTTTTCTTATACTGAAGTTGAAGCCTCTGGTCAGCTAATAAAGAACTTGGCAGGCAATGAAATACAAACATGAGCCTGGATAGAATCAGTAATTTTCTTAGCAAATAGTGCCTGCACGCACGCGCACACTCACGCAGTCTCCAGTCTTTTAAATTCAGACCTCTTTAAGTATGAAAGTCCATTATAGATCCATGACCCAGGAGACCACGGCTTCTCTTGTGATTCTTGCAGCTCCAGAGAAGATCAGTCAGCCTTCAGCTGGGAGCTGCCAGGTACCATTGCACTCTTCCGGGCTCACTCTTCATCTTTATATGCTTTGTTTTTTGTTTGTTCACAGCTGACAAGGCCTTCTGAGTACATCATAGGAGGCTGAGATTTAAGGACAATTTTTTGTTGTTGCTGTTGTTTTTATTTTTCAAGACAGGATTTCTCTTGAATCCTGGCTGGCTTTGAACTCACAGAGATCCACTTGCTTCTTGCCTCCCTCTAGTGCTGGGATTAAAGGTGTGCGCCCGCCACCCCCCACCCCCGTCATAAGGGTGTTTTTAAATTCATATCGAGCTATTTTTGCAAGTGAGTACAAGTCTCTATGTAGGGTGTCCTTTCCTGTCACCTGGGTATTTGGAGACCTAAATTAATAACCCAAGATTTCTTAAACATTCTGGAATCACAACAGAGAATCATTTGGTCCAGAGGTATTTCCTCTAGTCAGTAGCTTCTAGCTGCTTTTCTAACATGTCTTCACCTCTGTTCCGCAGGGATTGCTTCCCTTCTTGTGGCGGTCTCTAATCTCAGCCTTTGAAGCTTGGTGTGGAAACTGGTTCTAGGTATAAGAAGGGTTGCAGATGTATACTGCTGTGCTCCACATTTTTACATGGGTGCCAAGCATCCAAAAACTCAGACTTCATGCTTGTACAGCAAGCACTTTGCCCAATATTCAGTTCCCTCAACTTCAAGGCCAGCTGTCTATGGAGTAAGCAGGGCTCAGTGAGTACCCCTTCCCCTTTCCAAAACACAGCACAGACTCAGTTATGTGCATTCAAGATGTTTAAGCCATTGATAAAGATTATGTCACATTCACCTATTTGCCTGTTTAAAATTTGAAGTCCCAGTTCATTCATCTTGTTTTGCCTTGGGTGGTAGAGGATATATATTAAAGTGACTTTTGAGCATAGCTGGTTTCAGAGAATCGTGTGCTGATTTTCAGGTCATTTTTAGAAGGAGCATATGGTGGAATTCTTTGTTGAAAGTAACAGAATTCAGTTTAGGCAAGAAGAAAAGGAATTTGTTAAAGGATGTTTGGTGGCTGACAGTTTCTAGGAGCTCTACATCATGAGCTCTTAAAAATGTTCAATTGCTCATGCCTGGCACCAGCCTGGCACCCCCCACTGCAGTGTGCTCCGTGGCTGTTTCCAGGTCTGTCCCTTTGCTTACCAAAGGGTGACCTTTAACTTTGCAGGTCTATTTTCTTTCTTGTGACTCAGTCTCACATGGGTGTGTCTGATTGGCAGATCTCAAGTTCCCTGTTGCAGCTGAAGGGAGGACTGGGCTAGTAAATTGTTAAGGCTTACTTTAGGGCCTCATAATAGCAGTTTATTGAAGAAGGTTATTGAGCTAAGGTATACAAATATGTCCTTGCTGTTAAACTCACTCCAAGGTCTGCTTCTGACATAAACATTGTTTCTGTTCAGAAGCTAGCTTTGGTTTCTCCACTGTGTACTAACGTCTGCCCGGATGTGAAGTGAAGCTCAAGCTGTTTGTTTGTCTTGCTGTATGTATGTGTGTGCCTGAGCTCCTGACCATGTGTTCACACATAGGTTAGAGTTCCATCTGTTCATGTGTTCTCTCATGTAGTTGGCAGGTGTTTACTACTGTAAGGAAGCAAGCGTGCAGGTGAGTTCACAGGTATTTTGTTAGAAGAACAGAGGAGTCTTTATAATTGGGTTCTATACTTTCAGGGCTGTTTTTAGCTCATGTTAGAGTAGACTTCAGACCCCAGGTTTAGTATTTGGGCTTTTTGTTCTGTATCCAGGATTCAAGTAGCCAGGCTGTTCTTAGTCTCTCAGTGTCCGGCTGTGCTGTGCATGAAAGGCTTCTGACTGGAGTGGTGGGACTTTAAAGTTAGAATGCACAACCTTTTTGTTTTTGGGTTTTCAAGACAGGGTTTCTCTGTGTAGCACTGGCTATCCTGGAACTCACTCTGTAGACCAGGCTAGCCTCTAACTAAAAGAGATCTACCTGCTTCTGCTTCCTGAGTGCTGGGATTAAAGGCATGCGCCACCACCGCCCAGCCACTTTTGTTTGGTTTACTTAAAAGTTTTGAATCATTTCGTTTTACAGAAAAGTGGCAAAGATAGTAGACTTTTTCATATACTCTCTCAGTTTCTCCAGTATTATCATCTTAAATATAATCACATCCTTATATATACTTTACTAAAATTTACTGTACCTAGTGGGTAGCTAAGTCTTGTAGTTGATTCCATTGTAATTATTCTTTCATGCTTTTTATATGTCCCTTTCCTTTCTTCAAGTTGCTGGGCATGGAATGAGAAAACCATCGCTCAGGGAATAATGGTCTAGTCGGTGCTGTCTTCTAACCTGTACAATAATTTTTATATGTAGGCTTCCTTGAGCTCTTCAACACCAACAAGGATTAGAAGCAGGACATCTTCATTTACGGACCAGCTTGATGACGTGACACCCAGCAGAGAGGTCAGTGTGACAGTCTCACATACTTCTCTTAGGAAATCAAATGCAGTGCTGATGATGGTGACAGTATGGGAATTCGTTTTGACAAGTCAGTTATTTAATTTCTGAGTATTATACTTATTAATAATTCAACTGATTCTTTTCTTTTTTAAATGCAAATAGCAGTTAATTCTTGTACCTGTTTCTTAGACAAAATAATTGAAGAGAATAAGAATGTTTATTTAATATTTGTAACTATTAGAATAATTCAGTAATGTTTTGTTCAAATATGGGGAAAGGCCCTATATTTTCAAGTTGATGAAAAGTAACAACCAATTGCATATAGCAACTGGCATGAAAATTCATTGTTTTTGTTCCTTTTTTTCTGTGAAGTATAACATAAATATAGGAAGATGTTAAGGGGACTGAAGAAATGGCTCAGTCAAGCGCATTTACTGCTTTTACATAGGACCCAGGTTCATTTCCAAGAAACCACATGGGATGCATACTGCGTATAACTCCAGTTCTGGGGGTTCTGACGCCCTAGGAGGTGCTATCAGAGGGTGATGGATCTGCTACATCTGTAGTTACAGGCAGTGGTGGGTGTTGGGAACTGAACCCAGGTCCTTTGGAAGAGTGACAGGCACACTTAACCACTGAGCCACTTTTCCAGCCCAAGAGATGTCCAATCCTTTTAAACAATTATTTTATTTTACATTTATGGTTTGTGTCTGTGTGCCACATGTATGCCTGGTACCAGTGTAAGCCAGAAGGCATCGGATCTCCAGAACTGGAGTTACAGATGATTGTGAGCTACCATGTGGGTGCCAGGGGTTGGACCTGGGTCTTCTGAAAGAGCAATCAGTGCTCCTCTGAGCCATGTCTCCATCCCCCTACCCTAAAATACTTATTTATTTTTATTTTATGTATATGAGTGTTTGCTTGCATGTATGTAAGTCTATCGTGTGGAAATTGCAGTTTGCCTGTTTGTTGGGATACTTGTCTCTCCTGTCTAATATAGGAATTGTTTTGTGAGCAGCTTTCTCTTGAGGGCGTTATGCCCAGTACCACTCTGAAATGAGAGAAGAAATTATGTTTTAGCAACAACTTGGAACCAAGCCAGATAAGAAAATGCAAAATCACCTAAAGACAGCTACTATATACCATTTGCACCCAGGATTTCTGAGACCATCCAGAGTATCAAAGACTCCCACCTCAAAAACAAACAAACCAAAATGAATGAATTTAAACACTTTCCCTCCAGAACAATAGAGCAGGTGTATAGTGATATTTCATTTGTATTTTAATAAATAAAGTGTGCCCTGAAGATCAGAGAGTAAAACAGCCTCACTGGTCACCCTTACAGACCAGGCAGTGGTGCACACCTTTAATCCCAGCCTAGAGAGAATTCAAGATGGGAGGAGACAGGTCTCAGACATAGTCTCCTTCTGAGAATTCCTGGAGGCACGTGTCACCATTTAGGACTGAGGTAGAGATAAGAGCCAGTATGGCTGGCCGTTTTGCTTTTCTGACCTTCAGGTAAGCTTTTCTTTGTAAAACACAAATGAAAAGTCACTGCACAGTGTGTGCTACTTGTCTTTGACATCCTGTCTGTGGGTGCTGGGCAGGACATGAACAAGAGGCTCAGGCTATCAGATCATGTCAGTCTGCAAAGGGTAGAAAATTGCAGGTTTAGTAAAAAATACAGAACCAACGAGTTCAGCTAATAAATGCAGATAAGATTAATTTATAAGCAATCATTTCGTTTCTATGAATAGTAGTTTTAAGAAGCCTCAAAGTGAATTAACACTCAGAGCTGTTTACAAAATCCAACTCTGCTCACGATAAGAACAAAGTAGGAGTGGAAGGGAACTTGCTCATATGGTAGAGGAGATTGATTAAATTAGCCGCAGCTAGAATCCAAAATGATTCAACATTTAAAAAGATATTACTTTATCTATTTTGTGGGTGTAATGTGTGTGGGTGTGTGCATCACTGTGATGTGGAAGTCAAGAGGACAGCTGGGGGCGGGGGTTAGGTCTCTCCTTCCACCATGTGGGTCTGGGGATCGAACTCAGGTCGTCAGGCCTGGTGGCCATTGTCTTGTTCAGTGAGCAATCTTGCCCCCAAAGACTAAAGCAGCCAAGTGTCACTCATCTATAGTCCCAGTAGTCTTTCTGTGTGTACTGAGGTAGACCAATGGCCTTATCTGTTATTCTTTAGACTGTGATACTTGTACTAATTGATGTTGAAATTAATTTACTTTGCTTCCCGCAGGAATCTCATTTGATCATGGTGTACCATTTTCTGGTGTGTGGCTGGATTTGCTTTTGTTAGTTTCATTGTTTTGAAGATTCTCATGTATTCATAAGAGATGTCCGTCAGCAGTTTCCTTTTTCATTTTGTGATTTCTGATTTTGGTATGAGGACACACTGACCTCATAGAACAAATTCATATTCTCCTTTTATATATTTTTTGGAGGAGTTTGTGAAGAATTTGATCTGGTGTTAGGCTGTTGTAATTCCCTTTATCCCTCCATTTTTTAAAATGTGTCAAAGTGTTTTGATTACTAATTTAGTCTCTATAGTTCTATTCAGATTTATTCAGTTTTTTGTTTCTTCCTAATTTTGAAAAATTGTTTCCATTTCATTTAAATTGAAATTTCATCCAAATGAAATTCCGTTTTATTATCTGATGTTGACAGTAAGTTTTCATTGTCTTATTTTTTTTCTTCTACCCCAGCTAATGGTTTGTTGATCTTTTGAAAAAGTTACCTTTTGATTACACTTTCTAGTTTAGTGATGAACATTTTCAGAGGTGGGGTGGCTGCTGGGTGTGGTGGCGCTCACCGTTAATCCCAGCACTCAGGAAGCAGAGGCAGGCGGATTTCTGTGAGTTTAAGACCCACCTGGTCTACAGAGCAAGTTCCAGGGCAGCCAAGGCTGTTAGATGGAGAAACCCTGTCTCAAGGGAACACAAAGAGAAGAAAAACCAGAATTGGAGTGGCAAGTTGATATTTGAAGTCTTTGTTCTGAAGTCTTAGGTACTTTGAGTGAAACCTCTTATAGTCTTCATTGTATCTTCATTCTCCATCTTTTTACATCCTTGATGTTTCGGCTGGAGCTAGGAGAGGTACATAAGCTTGGTTTTAAGACTGTTTGAAAAAGAGGTGGGCATAGACACAGTAGAACATAGCTGTGGCCATGAGCGTGACCGTCCTCACTCGTCCGTCTATACTGCGTCAGTTTCAGCTGCTGTTGTGCCGCAGATGCTCGCTAAGGTGCACAGTGCTGCAGCGACAACTATGGTGCCTTTAGTTGACCATTTGGATACTTGCATCCGAGTGAGGAAAGAGAATTCAAGCTTTTGAGACACCAGTCTCCTTAGCACGGCTCCTCCATTACTCTGTATGAGGGATGACAATCAAATTTGTGAATAAAAATGAAAACAGGAAAAAAGACTAAATAAAAAGAAATTAAAGTTACTTGGAATTAGCAATGGTTTCTCAAGGAATTTCAGAGATGCCCTTTAAAGAGCTGCAGGCTGTTAAAGCTGCTGTGCATGCAGCTTGCTGTGTGAGCCTTCGCCAGGAGGACCTGTGATCTGGTCTCCCTGTGAATCTACTCACTTCCAATGCACCCTTTCTGTGCCAGAGACACAGACATAGGAGATAAAATGTTTTCTCGTGTCGTTGAAGGTGTATCTGGGCCCACAAACATGAAACATCTCTAGGCAAGAGGGACTGAAGAGCTGTTTCTGAGAGTCTTGGAGTTGAGAGCAAAGGCAGCTGTTTTCAGCCTCAGCTCTGTGAGAGTGGAAGCCTCCTCGGGACTGCCCTGTCAGTCCTCCAGGGACAGCACAGGTGAACGCTGGGTGAGCGCAGTGCATGCTTTAGTGTAGGTGTTTATTTAGGTTTCTCTTTGGATGGACTGAGTGGAACTGAAGTGTGCCGTGTTGGTAAGTTAGAGTGTGTGCTGTTAGCAACAGCTGTAGCTAAGATGGTTCTCCTAGCTGCAGTTAGCTGCTGCTGCCTGCTGCCCAGGCTTTCTGTGATTTGTTATGGGAAATGTCTGCCCTTGGGGAGGCCTTGTGATCAAGACTAAATCACACCTCAGTTGGGCTTACTTTCTGCCATAGATTCTGCCCCAAGCTGGAGCCTTGGAATCAGATTAACTGGGTGAGAAGAGAAGGTCACAGAAGGAATGAGAAAGACAGTACCTTTCTCAAAATGAGCCTGTAAGTAGGGGTTCTCAACCTTTCTTGGGCTTCGACCCTTTAATACAGTTCCTCATGCTATGCTGACTCCCAGCCATAGAATAATTTTTTTACAACTTTATACCTGTAATTTTACTACTGTTATGAATCATAATGTCAATGTCTGTTTTTCTGATGGTTTTAGGTGACCCCTGTGAAGGGGTTATTCAAACCCTCAAAGGGGTTGTGACCCTCAGGTTGAGAACCACTGCTGTAAAGGAAATTCTAAAAGAAACAACAGGAAGTCAGCAGCAAAACTAGACACTAAGGGAGGAGTTTATAGGAGATGAGCGACAAACAGTAGAGTGGTCTACAGTAAGACTAGTGAAGAAGTAATTTTTTAAATCAACAGAATATTGTGAGAAAAACTTAGCCCAAACAAAATAAGACTATGTAGACATGAAGAACTAAATAGAAATTATGGAGAAGGAAAAAGAAGAAAGATGTAAATGTGTCGATTATAATAAGACTATGGAAAAATGAGTGAATTCGGGAAAAATTCTGACTACCTCACTGTAGAGAGACACAGATATGGAGGGTGGCATGCATGGGATTTGCAGGGTAGGTTGAAATCCTCCAAGATAGTCTAGAGGCTGCAGATGCTAGACATCACTCCACTCCGTGCTGGTGCCGTGGCCACTCCACTGTGGACCCCACGAAGAGGTGAGTTTGTTTTAGCAGTTTTACATTAGCGTTTGAGCAAATGTTGAGAAGTTGACTGACTGGAATCTTTTCGAGTGTTGGAGAAGAGCTGTTTGCTTTCTGTTTGTGTGGGGTTGGGATGGAACCAATGGCCTTGTACCTGCTGTGCCCTTTCTACCACTGAGCTGTACAGCCAGCCCAGAACTGGTGCTGGTGAGGCCCACAGGCACAGAGAAGGGCTCCTTAGGCTCCGAGGTGTGTGTCTGAGAAACTGACCTTAGGTTGTTTGGGTGAGGAAAAGGCTTGGAAATTTCTGTTCATTTCTTTTGAAATATTGGTCACCATTTCTTTTTTTTTTTTTTTTAAAGATTTATTTATTTATTATGTATACAACATCCTTTCCATGTATCTCTGCATGCCAGAAGAGGGCACCAGATCTCATTACAGATGGTTGTGAGCCGCCGTGTGGTTGCTGGGAATTGAACTCAGGACCTCTGGAAGAGCAGTCAGTGCTCTTAACCTCTGAGCTATCTCTCCAGCCCCCTGATCACCATTTCTTTATGATGAGCATCAAACTTGGCTAGGTGCTTTCTTGAAACTTCACTTATACTCCCTTTTAAACTTGCTTTTTTTTTTTTCTGCTTGCATGGGTAATAGTGTTTTTTGTTTGTTTGTTTGTTTTTTAAATAACTTTGGAAGCCTAAGAGAAGTGAATCTGTATAGCTTTCAATTTAAAGTTAACATTTGTTCAAAGAATGACCTTTCTGAGGGCCCCAGAGTCCAGTTTTCAGTAAGTCTGGATGAGATTCTAGGAGCCAGTTGGACATTTAGCATAGTTTAATGTATAATTGGTAATAACATTTAGAATTCAGCATAGAAAGTTCTTGGATTCTATCCTAGGAGGGCTAGTCATCAATATTACAAAAAGAGCTTTGAGAAGATCTGTATCCTGGCTTTGGGAATGGCTCATTTGGTAAAATGCATGTTGTACAAGCATGAAGACTCAAGTTTGGATCCCCAGAACCCATGTAAGAAGCCAGGTGTGATGGTGTACACATGAAATTCTAGAGCTGGGGAAGCAGAAACTGGAGGATCCCTGGAGCTTGCTGGTTGGCCACTCTTGTAAGATTGGTAAATTTCAGTTTCAGTGAGAGACCCTGTCTCAAGAAAGTAAGGTTGGCGAGGCTGGATTGATTTCTCAGCAGTTAGGAGCACTGGCTGCTCATCGAGAGGACCTGGGTTCAACAGCAGCTCACAACTGTTTGTAACTCCAGTTGCAGAGAATCTGACACCCTTGCAGAGACATACATGCAGACAAAACACCATTGCACATAAAAATAAGTAAATTTTTTTTTAAAAAGAAAAGGATGAGAGCAATAAAAAGAGACCCAACTTGAGTTTCTCGCTTCCACATTTACCCACACACTTCTATGCATTCATATACCTGTGCACATGCATCGTTTTAAAAAATTGTTTAATTCAGCTTTATTTTGTCTTAGTCTGTTGTCGTGACACTTAACTCATCCATTTAGGAGGAACAAAAGTCAGGAGAGTCATTGGTTCAAAGTCATCCTTACTACATAGGAATCTTGAGGCCAGCCTGCACTACATGAAGACCTGTTTTAAAACACCAACCAGACCAAATAAACCAAAACTTTATCTGTAATTAGGCTGTTTCTAGTAAAGTACTGGGTAAAGAATTAGTGAACACTTTAGTCAGTGTCTGTAGCCTTAAAGTCCAGAGGGAAAGTGTATGTTTTCAAACTTTTGCACATACTATTTTCAAGCATGTCCTTTATAGGATATATAGTTTATTGTATATTCTATATTGCTTTATATAGTGAATTATGTACCATACAGTATGTTGTACTTTATTATATACTTTTTCTTTAAACAACTACTGTCAATATTTCACTGGCTTAATTTTTTTTAGCATTTTTATTCTGTGATAATTATATATACATAGGAAATTATAAAGAACTAGGGGGCAGCTTTTATACCCTCTCCCCAAATTATACAATATCCTGTATAATTATACCATTGTAACCCAGAAAGCAGTTACCATTGAAAAATTCGTGCACCGTTGGATCTTTCCTGGCTTACATGTACTGATCTCTGTGCTTGCATATGTGTTGGTACTCTGTGCAGTTTCTTGCATGAATAAGCGTGCAATCTCTACCATTGAGGGGGTCAGGGGAAGCAGCTCAGTGGGGACAGCACTTTGCGTACAATTAGCAGACAAAGGTGGGATCCCTGTGACAAGCTGGCTAGCTGTAGACTAGCTGGAATTAGCATGCACGAAGTTCAGGGAGAGAACCAGCTGCGACAGGTAAAGTGGAGAGAAATCAAGAAAGTTAACTGATGTTAACATACACATGCAAGATACATCATTTTAAATAAAATTTGATATATATATATTTAATTCATAATTGTTTGTATTTTGGTATAACAGCTTCTGGAAGAAAAATAAGCACAAAATATGTAGCAAAAGAACAAATGTTATAGATTTTGTTTATTTCAGGTGTTTCTTGTGTATGTACTTTTTCGGGGGAGGATTTCAAGACAGGATTTCTTTGCACAACCCTGACTGTCCTGGAACTTGCTTCCAGCCTTCTAGAAATATTGAAGTATGCAGTCTTGTTAGCTCTGGGCATTATTCTCTTAGACCTTCAGAGTCTTCTTTGCTTGTTGCCAATACTTTGGACTTCTGGACCTTTATACCAAGTTGTCAGTTATACTGGGTGCTAGGATGCCTGCTGCAGACATATGTATGCCCGTTAACAAGTGGCTTCCAAGCTGGCCTTTAAAATCCTAAACTCACTAGTTCATTCCATTCCTGACCTTTCCCAGCAACTTACTACTTTTTTGGGAGGGGGGTGATCATCATGATGGTCGACTGTAGTATTGTGAGCATTGTAGTGTGTGCTGTGAGATCACTTTGGAACACACCATGATTTGTATTCACCTCTTGTTTTGTTTTTGTACCTCTGCTTATTACACGGACTGAGACAGATACTAGCCGGGATGGTAGCAGAACCTGCCTTTCTCTCTGAGTATACTATCTTTGCTTTGGATTCCTCCAAACAGCCTAAAACACAGATTGACAGTGTGGTGAGTCCTTCCACCGCTTTTTGCATTCCCATGTGGGGAAGCAAACATGTGGGTAGTTGTAGCAGCAAGTCTCATGTGGTTTGTCACTTACCTTCCCTCAGAGCATCTTCAGTGTGGTGTTGCTAACCTCGCTCTAAACCTCAGAGAACAAGTTGCTGAGTCTGGCGGTCGCTGCTTCCTGGTACTCTAATCTAATAGCCTCACAGTAACACCCCCTCGCACTAATGGAGCCAAGGCAACCTTCACTTTTAGAACTAGTGCTTGCGTTTAATCTCTTGGAAATGTTTGCTTATGCTGAAAAAGCCAGTGTGCGTGATTAGAAATCTGTTTTCCTGTTAGGAGGATGCCAATGGTGTGTGAGATGCGACGGACTTTTTAAGGGAAGTAATGCATTGTAAGTCAGTAATTAGCAACATTGCATAGGTAGGTGGATTCTATTATAGCAGGTTCATATATTAATTTTGAAACTATAGTTAAGAAGTACATTGTATTTTGTAATTACTAGCTTTTGAATATGAAAGGAAACAGCTGTTTCATTTTTTAAAAAACGAATTCACTTAATTTTAACTTTATATATGATTTACTTGGGGAAAGTAGACATTTTTCTAATTGGAGTATATGGTAAAGTGATAATTTAGTAAACTAAAATGTAGCAGTGTTTGCTTACTAATAATTTTAACTTTATATATGATGTACTTGGGGAAAGTAGACATTTTTCTATTTGGAGTATATGGTAAAGTGATAATTTAATAAACTAAAATGTAGCAGTGTTTGTTTACTAAGGATAGCTTTTGATATTTCTTACCTTGGAGGATGGCTGAACTGGGTTTACAGTTTTTCTAAATGTTGAGACTTGGTTTAACTTTAGCTAGTGGTAGAAACATATCATTTATTCTTAATCCGGGTGTCCAGGGAAGGCGTGGTGTGCACACGGCTAGCGGTGGTCTTCATACTGCAAGTGTTGCAGAAGAAAATAAGCTGCATATAGAAGGAGTTGGGTCTGCAGGTGATCCAGATGGGATATCACAAAGCAGGGACAGCAAAAGCTGAAAATGGAACAAGGCAGAATGGAGGGCTCAGCAGATGGTGGCACAAGCCTCAAGCTTTGCTGCTGGAGAGCCTGGATTTAGAGTCACACAGTGTATTAGGCCAGTGCACACCCTAGCTATGTTGGACCCTAGAGTCCAATCACTGAGGAGGAGGAGTCGCCCCAAGAGACTATTTCTCACATCACAGCTGATATAAAAGCATGAGAATTTTATCAATTTTGTCATGACAGGGTCTTTCAGCATTAGGGATGCTAGAAAGACCCCAAATAGCTGGTACAGACTACTTTTAAAGGGAAAAACCACAGAAGGAAGGGGTGTTTGGGGTTGTTCTTTAACTATTATGATTGGCTTATTCAAAAGGGCTATTACCAATAATTGGCTGGAGAGTGGTTGCCAGTTCAGATGAGGTAAGGGGAAACTTCTGAGGGTCACTTTGCCCCTTTCCCAGGGACTAAGTCAAAACATCAGTAACTGAGTCAACACCTAAGGGTTATCTTGCCCCTATTCAGGGAGATGGAAAGTACGTGCATGTGTAGCTGTTATGTCCTTGGTTCCCAGGGGAGGAGGGGAAGTACTGAGAGAGTTCAGAAATGGCTTCAGAATTGTCTTAAAGTTTTATAGCTATACTATACTTACTTGGCTAAGTAATACAATATTTACATTTAAAAATGTTTTCAAGACTGTTCATGCTTTGCATGCCTGTAATCTCAACACTCAGGAAGTGAAGGAGGGAAGATCAGGAGTTCAAGGCCAGCCTCAGCAACTTAGTGAATTTAAGACTTTAGGCAACGTGAGACCCTGTCTCAAAACAAACAAACAAATAAGAATTCTAAAGGAAAGAAAGTTTTAAGAATCATTTTAAGTATTGTATGCTGTGAGCTTGATTGGTATTGTTTAAATAGCTGTGGAGTGGCTTTCTCACGTGGACCACATGTGGGTCTTGCTTTCACGCTTTCTCCTGACCTATTTGATGGAGCCCTTTGAGACCTTTCTTCATAATTTAAAGTATATTTTGACATTACAGTATATTATTATGATGTTATGTAAATGATATGTCCTATTATTACCTTGTGATCAGGAAGATAGGTAATTCCTGTGTTTCCCCCAACCTTTTCCTATGTAACTTTAAAGAAATCTCTCCAACTGGTAAAGATTAGGAACTTATTTTAGAGGGAAGAAAAGGTGCTGAAGCCTGTTATGAATTAGAGATAGTGATAATGTGGCTGTTCCTCTCACCACATATCCATTACCCAGTGTTGGCCATTAGTAAGCAGCTCCTAGCCGTCCTGTGCTGGCGTCTGTTACCACCCTTCTCACACTTCCATGGCCACATTGTTTCCAGGCTCCACTTCACAGACACTCATCCCCCACTTTAGATCTCCAGGAAAGTAAATCCTAAAGCTAGGGTGTGCTGCACATTTGTAACCCAGGACTTGGATAGCCGAGGTGGGAGAGGATCCTCTGCACTTAAGGACTTTCAAACTAGCCTGGGCAAGTTAGTGAGACCCCTCTTCATAAAGCAAGAATGCCAAAGAAATCCTCTATTTGTAAATACTTTACCTTTTTTTTTCTAGAAAAATAAGACTAAATTATATACTTTATAATTAATAAATTTATTTATAAATTTATAATACCCAAAGATTACTTGTTATTATTAAATACCTAGTTTACCTTGAGAAACATGAGAATGCTTTTGATAAGCTCTCCATTTCTCCTTTGATCTCTCCTTGGGTACCTGTAAAGGCAGAGGAAGTATAGCACGGAGCTGCCGGACTACTGGACAGTGACCACTGCTGTATGTGGTGCCGTGCTGTTGTGTAAAGCAAGGAGGTGGTTTTCTCATGAGCTGCTTCTGTAGTGGTGGTGGATCGTAGCAGCAGTTTGCTGTGCATGCTGTACAGAATTCTGAATCTCAAAGTCCTAGCATTATCTCTGCAGTCCGTGTCATGAGGTGACCAGTGATTGCACTGGGCTCACCAACAGAAAAAACGAAAAAGCCAGTACGCGCAGAAGACGTGTTCAGTAGAATATTTTCTGAAAATGTTTACTCTAGTTTCATTTACATTGCTGGCTTAGAATGAATGAGGCATTTCAGTTTTTTATTATTAAATTTTTTAATAGCTTTGCCCAAATGATTTAAATTTGAATGTGATTTTACTGTAGGGAGCAGATGACGTGACTTCTTTTTGGATAGTTTTCTGTGAACTGTGCTGACCAACTCCTTGTTGTTGATTTTTGTCATGGGGCAAAATATGGGGTCTAAGGGGAAGGCGTTTGTGATTAGCGTGAAGTAAATTTGTTATACATTAATCTTTGCTATTTAACTTCATGTTTTGCAGCAAAATGATTTTTTTAAAATACTTAACCACACACCTCTCTTGCCTGCATGAAAATATTCTAATAAACCATTACTAATTTTGTTCACTAGATGAAAGTCTATTAGGTCTTATTGGTTTGTTTTAACAGTTTTAAAACTTTAGTTGCCTGTTCTCTTTTTTTATGATGTTCTTACTTGTTCTTAGAATGCATCAGCTCAAGCTACAAAGTCTCCAGATGGTGTTAATAGAAATGAAGCATCTCCTCCTCAGGTACGTTACTAATTTATTTAAAAATGTCAGTCCTCTCAGAGTGTTGGTCTGTCTGTTATCATTAATATGTGTCTGCCTTGAAAGAATGTGACTTTGCTAGGGTAAAGCTGATATTATTCTTATTTATAGATGAAGGCCGAGGGACCCTTCTCCCTATAACTTCTTGTCTCCTACTCTGACTACCACACCCTTGTCACTTTATGAATGCAGACTGGCCTTCAGGAAATAGCATCTCTGTTCTAGACTGATAGCTATACCAAAATGTCCCAGCCTGTGGGCTTTCATATTGTGTCTATTATCAGTGTTATTGAGTCTTAGATAAGCTAAATCAGAGGAATGTTAGTTGAAAATTAGCAGTATCAAACTTTAATATTTGTACAAAAGTAAACATATTCCTCCTACAGATACACCTTTGTAATCAGCACTCAGCCTGGTATGAGGGCAGACAAAGTGGCTGAGCAGGTAAAGGTGCTTGCCACTAAGCCTGATGACTGGATTTGATTCCTGGGACCTACTGGTGCAGGGAGGGAACTGACTCCTGCAAGTGGTCCTCTGATTTATGTGCTCTATCTCCTGATATGCACAAATAAATTAATAGATAAATAATAAAATAGATAGATATTTATTATAAATAATAAAATAGATAAAATAGATAGATAATAAATAGAAAACAATAATTTTTTATTATAATAAAAAATTAAAAACCAGAACCAGAAATAATTAGTAAATTCTGGCCCCTTCTCTTTTTGTCAGTGGTAATCAGCATTCTTGCTTCTAGTACTATAAATTAACTTTGTTATATTAAGCTTTATGCAAAAGTGTCTGGTTTCCTGCCTGCTTGCCTCCTTCCTCCTTCCTTCCATTTCTTCAGACCAGTGGTTCTCAACCTATGGATGGCAATCCTTTGGGGGTAAGGGGGTCAAATGATCCTTTCACAGCGGTCATATATCAGATATCCTCATGTTAGATACTTACATTATGTTTCATAAACTGTAACTCCAGAGGTTCCAACATTCTCACATAGCCATACATGTGGGAAAAATGCCAATGCAATAAAATAAATCATTAAAAACAGTACAATTCATAACAAAAGCAAAATTACAGTTATGAAATAGTAATGGAGATAATTTTGTGGTTGGGGTCACCACAGCATGAGGAACTGTATTAAAGGGCCGCAGCATGAGGAAGGTTGAGAACCCCTGCTCTAGACAGTTATCACATCTCGCCTTGGCTGATCTAGAACTTACTGTGTAAGCCAGGCTGGTTCAGACTAGTGAACGACCTCTGCCTCCGGAGAACCAAAGTTACAGTGGGAGCCACTACCCATGCCCAGCATGGCTGGCTGCTTTTGTTTCTTACTCCATGCAATTTATCTGTATTGTTGCTATGATCTCAAACCATTTTCATCACTTTCTAGTTTTCCAGTGGTGAACAGGATTGTTGCCTGATATGCCACGGTGAACAAGACAGTTAAAAAGAAATCCTAATTTGATTTGGGGTCGTTTTGAATAGTGTCTTTTTGTGCGTGTCTCTTGGTGCATGCGCGGGGATGAATGGCTGGTTCAGAGGGTGATTGTGTGTAGTGTCAATCACAGCTGGCAGTTCCTTCTCCATGAGCTGCTTCACATCTTCATGCTGTGAATACCATGGTATTCATGGACCGAGTGGGTGGTTTGCACTTCAGTGGGTTTTACTTTGTGTTTGAGAAGTTGAACATTTTAGCCTGGTTGTATTGTTACACTCAACAAAACCTGGCTGTGGTAGGGAGGAAGAAGGGAAGGTTGGAAGTCATGTGAAAGTAGTGACTGCGTAGGTGAGTCTAAGTGCTTAACACACAGCCACCTCATGGGAAGGCTGCTGCTGGGTCATCTTCTGTAGGTAGAGACAGGCAAAGCTAAGTCAGGTCCCATAGCAAATGCTTGTATTTAGTTCTTCTAACCAGGAGAGTGCACGCTCTGCCAGCGAGCTACACCCACCACCCTGATGATGCTCTTATTTCTACCTTTGCTTTTGTTTAAAGCTGTGTCTCTTTCACTCTCCTGTCTCTTCCTGCTAGTTGTTGCTGCATGCTTGTTAACTCATTCAGTCTTCACTGTCTCCATGCAGAGTGGATGGCATCATCGTCATCAGCATTGTCATCGAGCCTTCCACCCCCGTTTTATGGAGGAGGAAACAGGACCGTTGAGCTCAGTAACTTGCTCCAAGTCTTGTACAACAACAGATGAGTTGGGGCTGAGACTGACTGCAGCACTGGGGCTGAGTCACTCTGTTCAGAAGTGGGACTGGGCCTGAGACTGAGACAGTGCTACACACTTGCCGAGCGTGTGTGAGTCCTGAGGTCCTCCCCAGCTCCAAAATAAACAGTAGAAGTTACTCCCAGTCATAGTAGATGTGGCAGCTAAGCTGGTTAAAGTCTGCAAATACAGGCTTGGATGTCATTCATTAACTTCCTGAGACCCTGAGAAATCGCTGTTTTCAGTGTTTCTTCACGTGTTCACCATCTGTCTGTCCTAGGGGCTTTTGTAAGGTGTTGTGTGCTAGGAACTGGAGAGCATTTCTCACATGGCCCAGAAGGAGGCTGGGAATGGAATTGCCAGGAACAGCAGTTCTTACAGATTTTGTGCAGGAAGCAATTCCTTCTCTTCCTTCTAGCCCTCCCTCCATCAGGAGGATAAAACTTGACATTACTAAAACAAACTAAAAAGTGCAGAGTAATATAACACAAAAACTAAATCCACCTAAAATGTTACCACATGAAGATACTGCTTACCTTTCTGCATGTCTGTCCTTTGTGACTGTTCTGAAAACATACATAGAAAGTAAAAAGTGCTTATAGACAAGTCAGAGAGCTCATGTGTGCGTGCTGCTTTCCTTTCTGTCGTCTTTCTTCTTTTCTTTTTGTTTGTTTGTTTTCAAGACAGGCTTTCTCTGTGTAGCCCTGGCCATCTTGGAACTCTCGGTAGACCAGGCTGGCCTAGAGCTCAGAGGTTTGCCTACCTCTGCCTCCCAAGTGCTGGAGTTAAAGGTGTGCACCACCACTGCCTGGCTGCACCCTGTTTCCTAGCTTGGTCTTTTTTATTTATTTACTTTTTGATTATGTATATGTATACGTGTGTCAGGGGGATATGCACTGGGTATAGGTGTTTAAGGAGGTGGAGGCATCAGATTCCCTGAAGGTGGAGTTACAGGCGGTTGTGAGTAACTTGACATGGGTGCTGGCATTTGAACTCAGGTCCTCTGGAAGAGTAGTACATGCTCTTATCCACTGAGCCACATCTCCAGCCCCCCTTCTTGATCTTTTGGCAGTGCACTGTGAGCTTCTGTATGTACTCGGTAATGTACTCTCTGCTGTGGTTTCCAGGTTGAGTTCACAGGAAGGGCTGTGTGTCCCAGGTCCACTCCACTCCACTTCTAAACAGATCTAGCTCATTAGTGCATTCATTACCTTCTTCCTCAGCTCATTTCAGTGAAAGGAATGATCTAGAATCACTTAATTCTATGACGTCTCACCAGATAAAAGTGACTTGAATTGAGCCCCTCACCTCACACTTCACCATGGATGCCCACACTAACGTGTGCTGTTAAAGGGTCTACCAGGTAGGTAGATGAGACACACAGCCCTGTGGGGTCAGCCTGCTAAGCACGCTTCCCTTTGCACAGATGTACAAACTGGAGGGAAGTGACTCATCGAAGGCTTGTACTGCTGGGTGACAAGCACTAGTCCAGACTCTGCAGTGATTGGCCAGGGTCTTTTACTTTTCAGAAAACAGCGTTTTGTATTACTTATCTGGAATTTGTTCTGTTGAGTTTGTTAGAGCTTTTACTAGAGCACTGCCGTGACGGGGTAGTAGATGTCTGAAGTGTGTATTTAACTCTTGCTCTTTGGGCTTTGCTTACAGTCGGGCGACACACAGACCTTTGCGCAGAAGCTGCAGCTCCGAGTGCCTTCCGTGGAGTCTCTGTTTCGAAGTCCCATAAAGGAATCTCTGTTCTGGTCTTCTAAAGAGTCTATGGTACGAACATCCTCCAGAGACTCATTGAACCAACTTGACCTGGACTGTCCCGCTGCCACCTTTGATCCACCTTCTGACATGGAGAGCGAGGCTGAGGACGCACCAGGGAGTTCAGACGGTCTCACCAGGGAGCAGCTGCTGCAGCGGCTGCGGAGAATGGAACGAAGCTTAAGTAGCTACCGAGGGAAATACTCAGAGGTAGGAGCAAGCTTTGGCTCACACAGTCATATGCTCCCCTTGGGCTTGTTCTTTCTCGCATATTGTTCTTCACCTGAAGTCTGAGGCCACCTGACTCTGGTCCTGGTTCCTGAGGCAGGCGGTTTGTGGCAGGACCTAGTTAGTCTTCCTGTGGTACAGATGCCTTTTAGCAGACTGATATTTTGGGGATATAGTGTGTAGCCTGGTTTTCACATTCTCTGCAATGTCTATGGACACCTAGGGCAGAGGTCGTCCTCCTTCTCTTCTCTGTCTCTCATGTTACTCATCTCTGACTAGAGTAGCTTCAAAATGATCTTTTCTGACAGCCATGCTTCAGATCAGTGGTTCTCAACCTGTGGGTCGAGACCTCTTTGGGTCGCATATCAGATATTTTCATTACAATTCATAACAGTAGCAAAATTATAGTTATGAAATAGCAATAAAATAGTTTCATGGTTGAGGGGGTCACCACAGCATGAGGAACTGTATTAAAGGATCACAGCATTAGGGAGGTTGAGAACTGCTGGTTAGATAGCCCGATGACCTCAAAGATTTGGCTTATTCTCCTTGTACCAATATTTAAATTTAAAATTTTTATTATTCCATTTTGTATTTACATGTGCATGCATGAATGCATGCCATAACACATGAGAGGAGAGGTTAGAGACAATCTGGGGGAGGTGGTTCTTTCATTCTGCCATATGGATCCCAGTAGTCAGTGCCCTTGGCTACAAATGCCCTTCATCAATGAGCCATTTTGACAGGCTCAGTTTTTAGTTTTTGGACATTTAAAATTTTGTCTATCATGAATCTTTAAAAAAAATAATTTTTTATGTGTATAGGTGTTTTGCTTGTGTGTATGTCTGTGTACCATGGGTATGTTTGGTGCACTTGGAGGCCTGGAGAGTATCTTAGAGCTCTGGGAACTGTAGTTATGATATGGACAGTTGGGAGCTGCCCTGTGGGTGCAGGGAATTGAGCCAGCGTTATCTGAAAACAGCAATGCTTTTAACCACTGAGCCATCTCTCTAGCCCTCTAACATGAATCTGCAAACTAAGTCCATGGTGATTCACTCTGTTTGATGTAAGGGAGGAAGTAAATAGTGCGCTTTCCTGATTGGTTTGTTTGTTTGGTACTTTGGGAACTGAAACTGCCTGCCTCCCTCGAGCCCTTCTCTGTCAGGTGCAGTAAGAAATTGTGCTTCAGGACAGCCTCATTGTCCGTGCTCTGGGTTCTCAGATCAGTGTCACATTCAGTTTTGATGAACAGTAAACTTCAGGGTTAGGGTGGAAAGCTGCCCAAGTTCCACTGTGCTGCTGGCTTACTACCCATACTGCTCAAAACAAAATGAAAATCTTGATGAAATACATAAATTACCTTTTTGTTAAAACTATAAAATAGTTTTATAGTTTATAGCTGGCAAAATAGAAAGGAGTTAATCTCATGGACCCTGGAAATGTAAATGGAACATTGAAACCAGGTATCTCTTTTGTAGCAATGGAACTAGGTAATTCTTTCTTCAAATATCTTAAACTATTATTATTTTATTTCTACTAATTTTAATAATGGTTTTAAATCTTTTTGTTTATCTTTATGCTACTTTTATAGATTTATCCATAGTTTTATGTCTGAGGCTGGGACAACAGTATCGTTATCATTTAAGTATGCCAGATACCGTTTACATTTATAGTGGCATTTAATTTTGTATTGTCCTTATGAAGCGAATGTGAGTTTGCTCATTTTTGTAGAAAAGGGATTAGGGAATCCATAGAGATGAAGTAACTTGCTTCAGGCCGTCTAGGTAGCAGCCGGTCGACTGTTTGGTTCTCAGTCACTCTGGTTGCTCTCCCATTCTAGGCTGTCTTAGAGTCAAGCAGCTGTTCAGGCCCAGACACCTCATAGCCTTTGCGTCTACTTTTCCTTGCTTTGCAGGTACCCAGGATGAAGTCATGCTGTAAGTGACATCTAACTCTTGAGCTGTTCTTCCTCCCACCCCACCTCAGTTTTGATTACCTTTCCAGTCTAGAGTTAATAAAGGGTCCTGTTCCTAAGCAGAAATTGTTTCCAGATTCTTAAGTCTATTCCCAGACTCACTTCCCTCACATCGCCAACTGCCTCTTGACTCAGACAGCAGCAGTGACCTTAGGGGCACACATGTTTCCAGGGAAAATGGAGACTCTTTTACTAGACCATGCTCCCTACAGCTGCACTGAGTTTGTCAGAGGCCATTGGCTCTGCTAATGTAGGTCCCCATTGTGCATTGAATGCAGCCGTCAGCTGTGTGAAACCTACATGGGTACAGGGATGTTACTCCATTGCTTCATCGAGTTGTGTTGAAATGTCTATTCTAATGTTTGGGTTAGGGCTTGGAGTACTCATTTCTCTCTGCTAGATATGCATTTCTTTCTTCAGACTTTTTTTTTAAAATTCTGTTTAATGTTGTAGTCTAAAACGCGAAGGTCACCTGGAGAACTTTAAAAACAGATTGCTGTCTCTCCAATAAAGCATCATTCTAATTATTCTTTATCAATAAAAATTCAGGAGTCAGATATCAGGGTAAGAACCTGAAGGATCAGAGAAGTAGAAAAGCCACCAGTCCTCTACTTCTTCCCATCCTTCTTCCAAAGAAGCCATGATCCCTGTCTATCCCACCTTACTACTTCCTGACCTATCTATCTGTCTACAGTCCTCCAAAACCTCTGTGGTTAATTTTGGTCAGATAGTGGTTAGCTCCACCCACTGACTCCAAGCAAGCTTTATTTGTCAGAACACAATCAAAATATCACACAACACTCCACTGTGTCCCTCCGTTCTCAGTGAGTCGGTTTTGGGTTAGGCCCTAGTATTTGTTTCTGGCAAACACTTGCACAGGGCTGCCTGTGGCAGATGTAGTCAGTCCATGACTACAGTTGGGTAGCCTCCCACCTGCAGGCAAGTTGCCTGCAATTCTGCGTGTTGAAATCTAAAGACATGCCCAGAGATTCACAGTAAACTTACAACTTACGTTTTAGAAATAGACTTGCCACCTTATGGATTGTATTAGGCTTAGTTATCGCTATAGGACTGTTGTGATTGGTTTTTGACTTTTATAAAGAGAAAATTTTAGCATCATTTAGAATAATGACTTGTATTTATTGAGAAATAGCTAATGTCATTTTGGTGGTTTGTTTTAGCTCGTCACAGCGTATCAGACTCTTCAGAGGGAGAAGAAAAAGTTACAAGTAAGTGCTTCATTGCTCATTGTGACTCTTACTTGATTTTAAAATTAGAAAGGGTCTTGTAGAGACGTTTACTCTCTTGTTGAAATAGTCTGTGTAGTTCCATATTTAGCCTGTTTTGCCATTACTAGAGGTTTGATGAAAAAGTGAGTGAAAGAGACCCCAGAGATGTTTCCCATGATAAAGACCACAAGTAGGTACAGCAATCCCAGCAGCTCAAATTCTGTTACTGAGCCTGCTGCAGCACCCAGGGCAGCACAGGAGGAGCCACACCGTGCACCTGTAAACGTAGAACGTGTGGTCATAGTGGCTGTGCCAGTCACTGCAGAGCTTCATGCAGAATTGTATTTGTACTAGTCCTGGCAAGCAAGGGACCATTACACCATCACAGCTGCTCATGAGAATAAAGGACCAGATGCTTTCTGCTGGGCCACTAGGGGGAAACGTTTTTCTTGATACAGGTGGCTACAGGTCGTTTACAGTTCACTAAGACTTGAAGGGGCCAAAAGTCTAGCACACTGAAGCCATCGTGGCTAGGACATGGACCTTCAGGAGCCACAGGATGCTTTGGTCCCAGGCTCCCGAGTATCTGCAAAAGGTTCAGAGTAGCTGGTACTGGCAGAGAGCTGTCTGACTAACCACTAGCCTGACACGGATCTGGATACCAGGGAATGGTCTAAAGCCGCCAATGAGGGAGTCCCATTGCTCCACCCACCAACATGCTAGCTTGTTTAAAAGAATAAATACTAGGGTGCTTATAGTAAAAGTCTGTCGTTAAGCTTGACAGTAGTCGATCTACAACATTTAGCTTCTGCCCCAGAGCCTCAGAGAGAGGCGGAGAGGCGGATCCGTCTATATCAGTAAACAGGCATTTCACCTATGTTCTCTCTCTCTCTCTTTCTCTCTCTCTGTCGTTGTTACACAAATCTAGAAACTAAAAATTGTTTTATTTCTTTTGTTTTCCTGAGACAGGGTCTCTGTGTAGCCATCCTCCAGGCATATGCCATCACTCACCTTAGTTTTTACCTCTGATTGGTGATAGACAAGAGCACATGGTTACTCTGTTTCCATGGGCTGCCACTTGCCATTAATTCCTTGTACTAGTGAAAGCACCCTGCCCCCCTCCAAAGTGTGAGGCAAAGAAAATTACTCTTTTAACTTGATTAAAAAATTCTTAAAAGAATTTAATTATTGTTTTTTATGAGTGTGGTGTTTTGCCTGCGTGCCTGTCTGTGACCATGTGTGTGCCTGGTGCCAGCAGGGTCCAGTAGAAGGTGCCAGACCCCTAACTGAAGTTATGTATGGTTGTGAGCTGCAAACTGGGTGTTGGGAATTGAACCCGGGTCCTGTGGAAGAGCAGCCAACCACTGAGCCACCTCTCCAGCCCCACTTGATTTCTTTTTAATGAACAGTTACTATTTTAACCATCTGTAATGCTGTTCGTGAAAATTAGATTTGTTTTTTTGAGTCAGGATTTCTCTATGTTGTGCTGGCTGTCCTGGAACTCACTTTGTAGACCAGGCTAGCTTTGAACTCACAGAGATCCACCTGCCTCTGCCTCCCAAGTGCTGGGATTAAAGGCGTGTGCCACCACCACCCTGCCAAAAAATTAGATTTTTTTTAAAAGAAATGTTATTTTACATAAATCTTTACAACATAATAACCATAATTAACATGATCTGTGAACTCCAGGTTATAGTGAAATCATTTGCTTCTGAAGTTTGCGTTTACTTTACAGATTTCCTGTTGCTAAAGTTAACTGTAGTTAAGTTTGTAGTCTGACTTCCATGTCAATGCATTTTGGCAAATGTAGCTATTCACATGACCAGAGAGGAATTCTGTGCTGTTACACTTTAACTGTTAGCATATTTCCTGCATTAACATAGCCTTGCTTTTCTGCATGAATATGCCATGTAGATCTTTAACCGCCCTTTTTTTTTTTTCCTTAAAGGGGATATTGAGTCAGAGTCAAGATAAATCACTTCGGAGGATTTCAGAATTGAGAGAGGTAAGTTTGGTAACTGATACTTTAGCAGTTTTAGAGCTATACTGCACATAGCAGACTGGTCTCACGTGCAGTGGAAAGGGAGGTGGGAAAGTGAGCCTGTGAGCTCACACATCCTCTCTGGGGTTTCATTTGTGTGCTTTTCTGTGGTCGTTGTTGTTGAAATTAATGAAATAAAAGGTCTAAGTCTGCATTGTGGCTCGCAGTGTCTGCTTGCAAAGCTACTTGTTCCACTGCTCCACATCCTAGGCTTCCTTTTGCCTTTCCTAGTCCATGTGGCTTGGCTGACATAAAAGAACTTGTCATTTGGAGAGGTCATTCTTCATAGGGTTAGATTGAGCTCCTTGATGTCCTTCGGGGCAGCGATTTACCTCTGCACTGAGCCCACACTGGGAGGGTTTTTCAGATGCCTCTTTGCCAGTCCCTGCTCCTCTCTACCTTGTCCTCCTGGAGCCCAGCAATAAGCAGACATTTACCGGAGTATTGACCACATCTGCTTTAATATTGCTCAGAGAATATCTTGTTACATGGTTTTGTTGTGAATGTTGTTCATAGGTATCAGTTGCTACTTTTGTTATTATTTTAAGAGCTTTGAAGCAAATGATTTCAGGAAAAATAAGAGTAGTTTAGGATTTTATGTATTCTGAATAGAATTTTATTTATAGAATTTATCAGTCCAAGGTATGTGTTAAAAGTACCAATCTGTCTAGAAAGTAGCAGATTGATAAATTTACAAATAGCTGTTGCTCCTGTAAGACTGGGAGTGTAGGTCAATGGTGGAACAGTCTGGAGAAGGTAGAGAAAGGAGAGGGAGAGAGCTCTGTGTCTGTGAGAGGAGGAAGGAGAGGAAGAAAGCTCTGTGTCTGTGAGAGGAGCAGAAGAAAAGCAGTGGACTCTCCTCTGTCACCAAGAACAGCCCTGTTGTTCCTTAGAGTGGTTTTTTTGTTTGTTTTGGTTCTTCGAGAAAGGGTTTCTCTGTAGCTTTAGAGCCTGTCTTGGAACTAGCTCTGTACACCAGGCTGACCTCAAACTCACAGAGATCCTCCTGCCTCTGCCTCCTGAGTCTTGGGCTTAAAGGCGTGTGGTGTCACCACTCAGTGCATTTGTTATTTTTAATTACACATTGTGTTTAATTACTCATATATGAATTTCTTATTTTGTTTCATTTGTATTGGAATCGTGTTTACTTTCTAGTCTCTTGTTATATTTTGTATATGTCCCATTCTTATTGTTTTGCTCTTTAAAACATTCTAAACATGAAACCGGGCAGTGGTGGTGCCCAACACTCGGGAGGCAGAAACAGGTGGATCTCTGTGGGTTCGAGGCCAGCCTGGTCTACAAAAGCTAGTTCTAGGACAGGCTCCAAAGCTACAGAGAAACCCTGTCTTGAAAACAAAACATAAAAACAGACAAAACAAAAAATTCTAAACGTGACCTTGAAAACTAGTTTATTTTTGTTACTTCACCTAGAATTAACATTGCCCCTTATCATACAGTTAACAATATCATTCTTCCTTTGTGAGGTACGTTTTGAACTAATACCATGGAAGAATCACTTGTCCCTATGAAGTTATGGTGAAGGGACCGAGCCTCACCCCAGTCTTCCCAAGTCCACGTTGATGGTTTGACTTGGAAGATAGCTGTCTGAAGGGCGTGGGCTGAGAGTGTAGTGAGCAGGGTGGGGTGAGAAATCACCTTGATGCTTTTTTCAAGTTACAAGCACCTTTGCTTCTCTTGGAGACACAAATAATGTCTTTTTACTTAATGTATTGTTTGTTCATTTTCTTGCATTTTGAGAATAAATGAAGGTCATTAATTGACTCTGTTGGGTCGAGAAAATTCAGTTTTATGCATGTGATGATTAGATACATGTACCATGGAGTACACACTTGTTTAAAATCTAGAGAATGTTTGTGAGAGGTGGGCACAAGTTTTGAGGATGTTCACAATGGTGTTTATGGAGAGACACAGAATACTTTTTTTTTTTTTTGTCCTGCCGCATTCTGCTAAGGAGTCCCTCACTGAGGGAGCTATCCTCAAGAAAGTGGGTCGTGGACCTCTGCTTTATTAATAGATGGGTAAGCACATGCAATATTCCTTTTTGCTGCCTGTTAGTATCTTAGGTGCAGGGAAGAATACAGAGCACTCAGTACAAGATATGCCTCAGCGCTTTGAGAATTAATCAGTGTGAAACAGTGTGAAATCTGGGGAGATAAGCTCTTGGGATCCTATCCAAAGAGAGTTGCTGTTGCAGATCTGAGAAGGACGGATTGACTCAAAGGGGGCTGACCTAAGAAATCTCTTCCGAACCCTGCTGATAGAATTAAAAAATCAAGACTTGGCGACCGGGCCTTGTTCATAGCCGTAGAAGAGAAAACCTAGATATTAGAGAGCAGTTAGTAAGAGTTGGGTCCTATACATGTGTCAACAAAACAACAAAAATATAACTTTGGCTATTTTAAATTCAGGGATATTTTAAATTTAATTAGTGAGGTAACAATGCCAGAACAGTAAGGAGGCTTGGTGTCCTACCTAATGCTTTCCCATGTCCGTTCATCTCTAACGGTCTAAGGAAGGGAGAGTGACAGAGAACAGGAGGACGCAGAACTGCACCTAAGGATAGGTAGAGTCAGTGAGGACAGAGAAGACTGGAGCTGGGAGGCCATTCTAGTGCCTGGTGCAGCAGAGAGAAACATTGATTTCCGGTTAACCTTAAACATAGCATTTACAGTGATTTCAGGAACTGCAAGTTTTCTTCCTTGGTGGTCCAATGTTAATTCATCCTCTTGGCTCTGCAGATGGGAGTGATTTAGGCTGTATGGGGAGGACACTACTGGCGCTCTGTTTGCTGTGTTAACAGTTTAGCCCCACCTTGTACTTTTATCTCAAGCCCACTTTCCCTTTGTATATTACTGGTGATCATTGCAGGTCTTTACAAGAATACTGTTTCTTTGCAGACCTTCATATTGTTTAAGGAATGAAATTATTTACTAATATTAAGATTTTAAATACTAATGTCTTCCACACTGTGGATTCTCTAATTTTTCTGTATCTATTATCGTTAAGAGTGAGGCAAGTCTGAAACAATGATGCTGTGAACATGAAGTTTGTATCTGTTGTTTTATATTGGGAGCTACCTGTAATACCTTTTGTTTTTAAGGAGCTGCAAATGGACCAGCAAGCAAAGAGACATCTCCAGGAAGAGTTTGATGCTTGTCTGGAGGAGAAAGATCAGTACATCAGCGTTCTCCAGACACAGGTAAGAGTGAGCAAAGGCATGGAAGCCAGTGTTGGAAACAGGGCTATATTGGACAACTGGAAAGCTTCACATGTAGAGAGGAAAAGCTTGGTTTCAAAACCCTTCCTTTCTTCCATTTTAGTACTATATCTTATTTGTTGTACGTTTCTGACTGATTGTGGTATCATGCAACAATCAGCTGTACTCTGCTTGGTAGAATAAACATATTGTTCCCTTCCTTCCTTCCTTCCTTCCTTCCTCCCTCCCTCCCTCCCTCCCTCCCTCCCTTCCTTTCTTTCTTGTTTTTTGAGATGGTTTCTCCGTGTAGCCCTGGCTGTCCTGGAACTCCCTCTGTAGGTGCTGTCCTTGAACTCAGGGATTTGCCTGCTTCTCCCCAAGGGCTGGGATTAGAGATGTGCACTGCCACCAACCAGGCTTACTCTATTTCTTACAAATTGTAAATATTCTGCCAAACTTGTTTCTACTACTGTTTTTTTTTTTTAAGGTTTCTCTCCTAAAGCAACGTTTACAAAATGGCCCAATGAGTGTTGATATACCACAGCCACCGCCTCCAGTGGAGCTCCAGGCAGAAGTGGATACTGACAAAGAGAAGATAGAGGATGTCGGGGAGCCAGTGGGTAAGCTCTGTTGTTGTCAGGGTATTATTTAAAATCAGAGGAGAATGTTGAGAGAGTTTAGGATTTGAGCTGATAGAGCAGACTTAGGCAAAGGTAAGGTGTCCTTGTCCTTAATGTTTCTTCCTTTTTTTTTAGATTTATTTATTTATCATGTATACAGTATTCCTTCCATGTAGGCCTGCATGCCACAAGAGGGCACCAGATCTCATTATAGATGACTGTGAGCCACCATGTGGTTGCTGGGAATTGAACCCGGGACCTCTGGAAGAGCAGTTAGTGCTCTTAACCTCTGAGCCCCTTCCTAATGTTTCTTCAAAGATTTAAGTTAGTTTTTTTAAAACCATATATTTATTTATTTATTTATTTTTAAGGGGGAAAAAACCCCCAACTGATTTAACACTTGAAAATCGCATAAACTTTAAGGAGACCACATTTTGAAATAATTGAAGTATATAAATTAAGTTACACTACTTTAATTTTTTGAGATAGGGTCTCAGTATGTAACCCAAATCACCCAAGTTGTGAATTTTTTCTGCTTTAGCTGGGACTTATAGGTTTGTGCCACCATACTTGCCTTATGGGTTTGTTCTCTTACAAAGAAAGAGACTCATGGTAGACTTTGGTCCAGTCAGTGAAGGAAAGCTGCTGAGCCTCAGGCATCTGAGCTGTTTCTCAGGTGTGATGCGCTCATAAAAGCTGTAGTTACCAGAGCTCCTTCCAGGAAGAGATCAGACTGTGACCAGAAGGAATATTTAGGAACACTTCTGAGATGGAAACTAGTGGGACTTAGGAATGACAGCCTTGTAAGTAGGCTAGATCCGTTCCAGGGGAAGGCTGTACCACTAATGGTGTGAATTTACACTTGGCATCTCCATGTACACATCCTGCAGTAACTTGAGGATAAAAGTTTGGAAGAGTACTGTAGAGGAGGGGCTGCTTTTTGGTTCCTGGCCACCCAACTAGCTTAGACCCAAAATAATCACACAGAAACTATATGAGTTAAATCATGCTTAGCCCACTAGCTGTAGCTTCTTATTGGCTAACTCTTACATCTTAATTTAACCCATCTCCATTAATCTGTTCATCACCACGAGGTCGTGGCCTACCAGCAAAGTTTCAACACATCTGTGTCCTGCAGAGGCTCCATGGCATCTGTTCTGACTCTGCCTTCTTCCTCCCAGCATTCCGTTTAGTTTTCCCCACCTACCTAAGTTCTGCCCTATCAACAGGCCCAAAGCAGTTTCTTTATTCATTAATGGTAATCACAGCATACAGAGGAAAATCCCACATCAGAGTACTACTTGGATTATTGGAGTGTCCTTTCTCTTCTTGATTGTCTCAGAAGGTAGGTTTGGATAGAAGAGGACATTGCAGGGACTGAGCCTGTAGCTCAGTGGTAGAGTGTGTGTTTAGCTTGCAGAAGGCTAAACATAGCTTCCAGCATCCCTGCCACCCTCACTTCTAAAAAGATGAACTATTCCTGGGGCTGGAGAGATGGCTCAGTGGTTAAGAGCATTGCCTGCTCTTCCAAAGGTACTGAGTTCAATTCCCAGCAACCACATGGTGGCTCACAACCATCTGTAATGAGGTCTGGTGCCCTCTTCTGGCCTGCAGACATACACACTGACAGAATATTGTATACATAATAAATAAATATTTTTTTAAAAAATGAACTGTTCCCAGAGTTCTCTTGTATTCCTTAAAGATGTTTTTATTTCATTTTTTTTTCTTGATTTAGTGTCTGTGAGTGCTCATATGCTATGATGTACGTACAAAGATCAGAGGACAGCTAGGTCATGGAGGCTCTCCACCACATGGGTCCTGGGGACAAGCGCCTTCCCCACTGAACCTGATCACTTGTGTTTTTACCTCTTTCCCTCGTTCATGCTGCTTTACCATTTGTAGGAGGTGGAGCTTCTGCTAAAACACTGGAAATGCTTCAACAAAGAGTGAAACGTCAGGAGAATCTGCTGCAGCGTTGTAAGGAAACAATTCGGTCCCATAAGGAGCAGTGCACACTGCTAGTCAGCGAAAAGGAAGCCCTGCAGGAGCAGCTGGAGGAAAGGTTGCAGGAACTGGAAAAGATAAAGGTGAGCGACCACTGAGTTCTGTTTAAATGAGTAAAACCAGATTGACAGGCTCCAGTGTGGCCCGAGCCTCCTCTGGGGAGCCGCCTTCACCCTCCTGCACTTAGACAGTGTGGAGAGGGTGTCCTTGTCTGAGCACCCACGTGCCCTGGGTCTGGAGCACTTACCATCCATTGGAGAGTCCTGTGTACTTCTCCCTATTACACGATAAGGTTTATCTAGGTTAGATAAGCTGCATAGAGTTCTCAAATGAGGCAAAGATTTATTAGAGATGGAAATGAATTTCTAAACTTTTTTAGGAGCTTCATATGGCTGAGAAGACTAAACTTATCACTCAGTTGCGTGATGCAAAGAACTTAATTGAACAGCTTGAACAAGATAAGGTAAAACTCCCAAATTTATGATACTGAGATTTGTTAGGGCCCCCAAATTTGCTTTGAAAGCAGCTAGAAAGCATTTATATGTACGTCTGCTTTTCTAAATTTTTGTAGCTGCTACCATGAAAACTATTTCTAATTTCTAGATTTATGTAGTTTTAGCATTAATAAGCCTGATTCTCTGATTTCTTAATGCCAATCAGCATTCTGTCTTAGAGACAACAGTAGTGACTACAAAGGAAATCTGTTTGTAATATATACCTATTTTGCAGAGAAAAATTATTTAAAGTTAAGATCTGCTGACTGCGAATGGTTTCAGTATTTTCTTTCACATTGTAGAAGTAGATTGATCATTTCAGTTGCCTGAAAAGTAAAGCATAAATGTAAAAGTAAAGTGATAATGTATACATTAGCATGAGACTTCCTACGTGTGGACGTTATGATGCTTAGTGTCCTGAGGAGTGAGGAAGGGCTGAGCTCACGGTAGGCAATGGAGTTAGAGCAGCAGCTGACACTTGACAGCGACAGCTGAGAGACTCAGAGGTGAATGAACAGCTCTGCCCTGCTTCATCCCAGGTTCTCCGGCCCTTTCGTAAGACATCTCCCTGTTCATTTCACGCCATCTATCATCTTGTTTAATGTGTTGGTTCATAACTATAGTATTTTAACCTAGCTTTGAAACAAGGTACTCTTTATTTCCACAGAACTAAAACCACCTGCTGATCACACCTAGCAGTTTAACAGCAGTTCATGAGCAGTTCATGACAGCTTCTGCTCTCTAGTCATTTTCTGATTTTTCTTAGTATCTCACACATTTTTCTTTTTACAAATTATGTAAACTCTTATTGTAATTGATAAGATTCTTAAGACTTCTTTTAATCTATGGATTTAGTTGTCATTTCTTTCTGTTGTTTTCTTTCCTTTGTGACATGGGTTTTGGAGACAGTGAAGGCCCACTACTCGGTTTTAATTTTCTTGACTACACTTTACTTCCCTGTTGTTAACATTAGCATTGACTGTTTGAGGAGTCATACTCCACAGCAGGGTCAGGAGGCCCTGCAGGTAAGGTCTGAGCGCTTCTTCAGGAGACTAGCTGAACTACCCAGATACTTTGTCTCGAATGACTGATTTTGTATGTGATGATTTGATTTCTTCCCACACCTTGACCTTTATTTCTATAGCGGGAAGAGAAGTCTCTAGCAGAGTGGAGGCATGGCAGGGCCTTCCTTGCTAGGCAAGGGTAGTGTGGAGCCAGAGGGAGTCACAGGAGAGAAGAGGACTAGGGACAGCTGGGTTCCAGCCTTGCTCCACCCAGCTGTGCAGCAGCTGCCCTACATAGCGGACCAGTCCTTGTCTTTTAGGCCAGCAGCCAGCTCTCAAGTCGTGACACAGAGACTTATTGTTAGTTATGAATGCTCGGCCTACCTTAGACTCGTTTCTGACTAACTCTTTTAACTTAAATTAACCTGTTTCTCTTTATCTCCCTTTTGCCTCGAGGCTTCTTAACCTTTCTTTCTGTGCATCTTGTTTTTCTGCCTCCTCCAGTGTCTGTCTGACTGATGACTGCCTGGTTTCTAGCCTTGGGCGTCTCTCTTTCTTTCTCGTTCTCTTTCTTTCTCTCCTCTCCTCTTCTTTATTCTCTCTGCCTGCCAGCCTCGCATATCCCTTTCCTCCCAAGCTATTGGCCGTTCTGCTTTTTATTAGACCAATCAGGTGCCTTAGCCAGGCAAGGTGAAACACATCTTTGCTAGTTAAGTAATATTCCACAGCAACATGATGTCTAGAGTTATTTGTGTGTGAAAGTACAGATGTGAGCTGTGGCTGTTCTGACCCTGAGTCACATTCAGAGGCTAGTTTTGTTCATTACTATTTATTAATATGGGACTCACCGCATCTATAGCAAGACTGTAAAATAAACCTTGTAACTGAAACATGGGGTGCTTAAAGTACTAAACTCAGAGTTAAACATTTCCATATCGACACTCCTGGTCTGCTAAGGCACAGAGCAGAAACATAGGCTTCAGTTTGTGAGCTGCTGAAGAGTCTTCCACAGTCCTTAGTAAGAAATGCTTCTTCTGCCTCTCACATCATTTAAGCTATGCTGTGTGTTGGTGATGCAGTTTTGTTATGCAAATGCTTTAGAGTCTGTACTTCTGTTCAGGGAATGGTATTAACAGAGACAAAGCGGCAGATGCATGAGACCCTGGAACTGAAAGAAGAGGAAATTGCTCAGCTTCGTAGTCGTATCAAACAAATGACTACCCAAGGAGAGGAACTGCGGGAACAGAAAGAGAAGTCTGAAAGAGCTGGTAAGAACACAGGGGTGTATACTTTAGATCATCTCAGAATGCGCAGAGTATCTTAACAAATGAGTTAGTCGTTGATAAAGTTAAGATGTTACAGTGCCTGTTAGGGAAGGCCTCTGTGGCCTGGGTGATTTTTCTTTATAATTTCTAAGTGATAGAAGAAATGTGACTGAGACCATATATGAAGTATTAATATCTATCCATTGTAGAAAATGTTTTTTGATCTCCACCTTAGAATGTTAACATTTAGGCTTAATCAAACAAGTAATCACAGCATGGGTCATATTTAAAATAACTGTTTCTTTATAGATGATATAGAGTAAATAGAAAGCATACAGCATGTATCTGTTTCCACTGGTCTCAGCAAACAATTCGGCATTAAACATACTAGCTGACTAGAATATAGGCCAGTGTAGTGTCCATTGCACTGAGTACTGAGTAGTCCTAAGGAAGAAGAGGGTGAGCAGGTCATCAAAGACCTCAGCTAATGAGCAGAGTGTAACCAGGGAGAGGTGGACTGCATACATACCAGTCCCTGCAAGGCTGTGAGTCTGCAGAGGAGCACATACATGGGCATCAGCTGGAAACCTGTTTGCTAAAGTGGGAAATGAAGAGACTGGCTGTGGCCTTCAGACCTCTGTGTATAGGACAGACAATAGGAAGCAGTATAGGTGAGCATATGGAAACTCGTGTTGTATGTGGGAAGGAAGTGAAGTTGGAAGTAGAGCAGGAAGTTCAGGCTTAAGGAAGAGAATGCTTTGGCTGCCTAGGGTGGTGGCTCGGGGAGGAGGAAAGGGGAGAGGAACAGAAGAGAAGTAAGGATCTGAGATGGTCCAACATTTTAATCTAAAGACAATGCTGAATGGTAAGGGGCTCTAAATTGGGAAATTCGGACTTGACTACTAGAACGTTTGTTTAAGATATTTTGAATTTGAATTAGCCTTGGGATTGTCAGTGGAGTGATGTGTAGGCATATGGAGGTAAGAAACTGGAGCATCTTTTAAGAGTCGCAGCCTGTGGTTCAGTCTGTGGAGAGACTGGAGAGGTCACATTAGCTTTCATGGTGAGGTTTAAAGCTGCTTTAGTCTTTGTTGCTTGCTGGTGTTTGTTTACACTACTACAGTAATGGTTAAGCATAATAGCAAGGTGTGTGTTAGCACTTCTGTGGCAGTAGTTACACGTAATGACAAGGCTCTACTATTACACTTGTACCTACATTTAATCCTTATTTTCTATCAAACAATACTATCATCCTCATTTTACAAATAGGAAAACCCAAGACTAATTTGTCTCCATTTATGCACAGAAAGTAAATGTGTAGTCAAGAATTTTTACTCAAGCATTGTGGCTTCAGGTTATATGTTGAGAAGTCTTGTGTTTGACTGATAGAAATAAGTGAGAAGTTCCTCCAGGTGGTCACAGGAACTGATAGGTTTTGTTTCATGAAGTGGGTGGTGGGGAGTGGATGAAGTTTTATAAAGGTCTTTGAATTTGATTTCTAGGACACACTTTTGAGAAATGGTCTTAGAAAACACATTGTAAGGTACCAGTGAGGGAAACAGAGCCATGTAGCAGAAACACTTTGATGAACGCCATCTGTGGTTGTCCATGCATCTCTGTCTCCTTTGTGTTGTTTGATGAAGAGATTTGGAGATTTTAGTTGATAAACTTGTTCTCATTAAACCTAAGAATATTTCTTGTCAGGAGGATACTAGCTCCTTGAAGAATATGAGCTCCTAAACACAAGTGTCATAAGATACTACAGGTAGGCTTGCCTCAAGTGAAGCCTGTGTGCAGCCACCATGCATAAGAGCCCATGTACAGCCGCTGTACATAGGAGCCCGTGTGCAGCCTCAGTGCATAGGAGCCTGTGTGCAGCCACAGTGCATTGGAGCCTGTGTGCAGCGGCAGTGCATTGGAGCCTGTGTGCAGCGGCAGTGCATTGGAGCCTGTGTGCAGCGGCAGTGCATTGGAGCCCATATGCAACCACAGCACCTGCCATCAGGCCTTCCAGCTCTATAACTTACTATTAACCACATAGCTAGTCAAGAAGAAATGATGGTCAGGGATTGAAATTTTCTTAAAATGAGTCATGCTTTGTGGTGAATATTAAGTTGAGAAGTATAAATAGGTAAATAAGCAGTTGATTAATGAATATTAAAATTCCCCAGAAAACTTTCAGTCAGATCGTAGTGGTGCAGCTTTCCTTCCTTGTTTCTCTAAAACACAGCTGATAGATGTGTTTTCTCTTTAGATGTAATTTTCACAATGCTTCATGGGCAGGAGAGGTGACTCAGTGGCTAAGAATGTGGACTGCTCTTGAGAGACCTGAGTTATGTTTCCAGGACCCGTGCTGGGCAGCTCACAACTGTCTAATCCAGCTTCAGGAGTTCCTAGGGTGCTAGAGATTGAACTTAGAGTCTCATGGAAGCCAGATATGTATTCTACTACTGAGCAGCAGCCTCACACCGAGAACTATGCTTTTGTAAATATTTTATCATCTGTATGTTGAAAAACTTTTCTGTTATGTCAGTTATCAAAAGAATGCAGATTAATAAATAATTATCAAAGGAGAGAATAGAGATTTAAATTACTTAATGGATCATTAATTTTGGAAAGCTTGTAGACAACACAGTTCACATGTTTCTGTTTGTAGTCCTAACTATTAAGTGCTGTGGTAGTGTCTGTAGAGGACTGACTGCACTCTGAAGACACTATAAGTTAAATCCACCACGAGAACCAGTTAGTAAACTACCTGTCCGTCAGCCCATGGCCTTAGCTGAGAAGGCCTGTCTAAACAAAAATTGTTTCCAGCGGAAAGTGTAGATATCAATCAAAAGAAAACTCTAGATGAGTGGCAGACATACGAAACAGCCAGTGTCCAGTAAGGAGAGCTTCTGTGAACGCTTTCCGGCTTCTGTAGAATTCAGTCGCTCTGTTAAACATCTGTCTTCTGTCTTTTGAGTAAAGTCCCTGGACATATAAAGGAAACAGTAATATCATAAAATCAGATGTGATCACATAAAATTGTTGCCAAAGAAGAGAAACTAACCTGATACATTTTCCAGTGTCAAGAATGTGATTTTGGTAGTACATGAGGGTATCTATGACTGCTGTAGATAACTACTTCTGTTGACTCATTCTTTCCGGGTGTTGACCCTGACTAAAGAACATTCTCTGTTGCTCTTCTTACGGCACATTTCATTGCACTGCTTTTTATACAGGCTAATTATACAAGCTAATGCAAGTCCACCTCTCATTTATAGAGAAGAATTCAGTTTCAAATACTAAGGCCTGAGCTGGGGACATACTGAGTGAGTAAGCACTTGCCACAGAAACCCAGGAACCATAGAAATTCAGATCCCCTGGAACCCACGCAGAAGCTGGGACTGGAACCTATAATCCCAGTGCGCAAGAGACAGACGAGATTCCAAGGGTAAGCTGGCTGGACTAGCTGCAGTTAGCAAGCCCCAGACTCAGTGTAAGACCCTGCCTCAGTAAATAAAGTGGATGGGAATTGAGGAACATTTGATGCCATCTTCAGGCTTCAGTACAAACAGGCACATGCTTACACACACTCATATACACATGTGTGCCCAAACACATGAGCACACACATACCACATACACATGTGTAGAACTACTAACACATGAGTGTCATGAATGCTTCCACCAGGACACTGCAGTCTACTTCCAGCACTTTGACATCTCCTGGAGGCCAGAGGCTTCTGAAGTCTTGCAGCACAGCACTCTTGCTTTCTTCAAAACCAGAATGCCTGTTAGAAGCGCTGTGCACAACTGTGATTTCACACCTTTCTAGGTATCACCTGGGATGATCTGATTGAAAATGTGGAGGAATGTCATTATTGAGCTTTAGACATGCTGCTAGGAACTATTGAGAATTGTCTTGGAAAGTATATACTTATCAATGTGGAAAGTTAAGGGTATTCTGGAAAGAGTAAAAGTAAAAATAAAAGTGCATCCCTGTTTGAGTATACTTTCTTTAAGTCCTTAGATAATCCAGAGTTTTATATTAGAATAGTATTGTACATTTAACTTTGTATGTTTTTATGCCACTATTTAGCATAATATTGAGAATCCTAGTACATATAGCTAAGGTACTAACACGTTTGTGCCATAGGTATGTACATCATGTCCTTGGTAACCATTTCTCTGTTGATAATTAGTAGCTTCTTTTTAAACTTTTGCTCTTGAAAATACTGTAACAGTTCTGTAATACAGATTAATTTACATCTTTGATGCTTTTTCTTCTCTCATGAATTTTTTACCCATGAAGCTTGTTTTCTTTGTTAGTTACGGTTAGGTGATTAAAATGTAGCTAGCTATTGCAAAAAAGAAACCATAAATCATAGCATTAACTCTGTTCCCAAGTAAAAGGAAATAAGATAACTCAGGCAGTGATGTACCTGTGCTTGCCACACAAGAAAGGTGAGAAGTTCTGATCCCGGTACCCGGAGAAGCAGCTGATCTGGTGGAACGCACCTATTAATCCCAGTGCTGGGGAGGGGAAATAGGCAGATCTCTGAGGTCTGTTTGCCAACCACTTCAGCCTGCTTGATGGCCAGTGTTAGAGGCCCTCCTTTTCAAAAAAGCAAGACGATGGCTTCTGAGGATCAAAACCTGAGGTTGATCTCTGACTTCTACATGTATATGAAGAAGTGCCCCCCCCCACACACACTCTTTTTCCTCTCCCCACATTATGCAAATGTGTAAAATATTTTGCATGGACTCATATGTTTCTCAGAGTGCACTAACTTTCATGAGCCTTTTTTCACACTCCACCGTTGCTGAATTTATGTGTTTTAAGTGATTGACGGCATGTAAAAATTTGGGTTAAGTCATGACATTCTTTGCTTTGTTACTGTCATGTGTTCTCTTTTGTATGGTGCAGCCTGATAAGCCAGACAGAAGTAGAAAATGTGCATTTGAAGTCTGGGGAGCCTCTGAAATAAGACTGTCTTTAATGTGTCAGATTTATGCATA